TCTTAGATATCCAAATTACACATTATATTTTTATTAATATTATAAAACTACTAATAAATCATAGATTTGATATAATATATAACATATAGTATATTAAAAGTTAATATTACAAAATGAGAGTGATTGATTATGCTTGAAATAATAAAAATAAATAGATTATACCAAACTAATAAATATTATTAAAAAAATTATTATCATCTAATAATAAATTCACATAACATGTCATACTAATAAAAAGTAAATAAGTATCAAAATATATTTATGCGGTTCGATTTGATTTGGATCGGTTTTGAAAAATTCATCCGAAATCCAATCCGAACCGATCGGTTTTCATAAAATAACATCCAAACACAACCAATAACTTTCGATTTTTTATGGTTTTCGGTTTTTTAGATCGGTTTTCGGTTTTTTATTTGGATTGGTTTGGATTTGAACACCCCTAGTATTGAATTGGAGTTGGTGTGAAGAATTAAAATAAAAGTGATAAAAATTCCAAATTCTAATATAATACCACATAAGTATTATGATTCTAATATGATAGCACATAAGAATTGAAGTTAAGTTTATGTCCAAGATTATCATCATGACAAAAATATACATAAAAAGTTTTAAACAGAATAATAAATAATAAATTAAATTATCTGAATGCAATAGCTAATAGAAATTAAATTATCCAAATGTAATAGCCACTTGAAATAAAAAATTATGAAATTCTAATTAAAGTAAAGACAATCGTTTTAAATATGGAAAATAATTTATTATTATTATTATTATTATTATTATTATTATTATTATTATTATTATTATTATTATTATTATTATTATTATTATTATTATTATTATTATTATTATTATTATTATTATTATTTATTTATTTATTTATGTTAACTTAACATTATTAAAAGTATGGAAATTTACTTAAATAAATAATTTTGGTATTTAGAATTTAGAATTTTACTAAACAATATTTAAAATTCAATAAATCAGTTTTGATAGTAAATTTTTAAATATTAATATTCAATATAATTAAATAAATACTATAAAAAAGGATATAAAAGTGAAAGGTTTGTGTCATTATTTTTGCATATTTAAATTACACATTAGCATATTTTTTCAGAAAAAAAGAAAGAAGAAGATGATGATGATGAATAAAAATAATTAGACATATACTTAAATATTAACTAAATAAAAGAAGGTAGACTATTTTTGCCAAAAAAATATAGATAGAATCATACATTAGCATATTTCTCATGAAAAAGACAACAACAACAATAAAAGAAGATGAATGAAAAGAATCAGATATATGCCACCAATATTAACTAAATAAAAGAAGACAGATTATTATTTTCAAAAACATAAAGATAATAAATTATACATTATCATATTTTACATTAGTATATTTTTACTATATCATACCTAAAGAAAACGATATCAAAATACATGACATATAAATATTATATTTTATAGGGTTAAATACACTTTATCCTCTTGCAATAGTAGCGAGTTTTGATTTACCCCCCTTTTAAAAAAAAATTCTTTTCGTCCCTTAACAAATATAGATTCCAAAGCAAAAAATCTTATAACCCAAGATTCCCTTTAAGTTTCAGACGTGGCTTGTGACACTCTTGCTGACTGGGTAATTAAATGTCACCTTAGACTGTTTGGGTATGGGGATACCGTCTTCGTCTTTTGTCCCTTTCCACATCCATTTCCATTGTAAATCGTTTCATGTACCCCTTCTGTCCCTACCGTCTTTCTCATTTCTTCTCTCCCTACCGTGTTGAACCATTTCCACTGCAAATCATTTTCTGAACCCCGATTATGTCCCTATGTTCAAATAGAGGATGCTAGCAAGAGTGTTGGAAGTTGCAAAATAGTCAACTGGTTCAGTTGCTGCAGTTTGAGTTTTATCAGTTTGTGTTGTAGTTTGAGTTGCAGCAATATGTATTGCAGTTTGAGTTGCACCAACTTGTGCTGCAGTTTAAGTTGCACCAGTTTGAGTTACCTCAGTTGCACCAGTTTCACCGGCTTGTTAAACATCATCAGTTGTACTTACCTTGACCTTCCTCTACAAAAATAAAACACATAACTTGTTAGTTCAAAATACATGATATGTTAGTTCAAAATACACACATATCATACCTTTCTCTTTAGTCCATTAGGATCTTGTGTTATGCTTTTACATGTCTAAGCATTGTGACCAAATTTGTCACACTTAGTGCATCTGTAAGAAACACCTAGAAATTACAAGTACATGATATCTTAGAAATGTCAACTATAAATTTCCAACTGTTATAGGAATGAGTGACTTGGAATTTTTCATCCATTGCCCAAGTAGGAAGCCATTGACCATAAAACATAACCTCATTATCAAGTCTTTTTCTAAGAATTGGCATAACCTTACGAGGCCATTTTTTAAGCTTCATGGCAGAAGTAGAGCATTTGTTCATTAAATACTTCTTAATCCACTTACACGTTGTTAAAAAATTGGTTTATCCCTAACACTTAATATGATGGCATTAAAGTACTCAGAAATATTATTCATAAGAACATCACACTTAGGATAGAACTAAAAGCACGCTTATACCAAACCTTTGGAGGAACACCCATTAACCAAGTCCAAGCATTATGATCTATCAGCTTCAGCTCATCCATTTTTTGTAACCATCCCTGATAGTATGTAAACTTTGCAGCCTCCATCATTAGATCTCTAATCAAAGCTCCACCTCCAAAAAAATTCTTGAAATTTGCATAAAGATGCCTTAAACACAACCTATGATCTATCATTTCAAACATCTCCTCAAGCACAGCTACCATACCCTGAAACATTGCATAATATCAGTGTAAAGTAAAATTTGTCTAACATATAACTTAATGACAAAAAAAGTATACCTTTTGTTGATCAGATATAAACATGAATCTCTTGTCCTGGCCTACATATGTCATCAGCAACTCAAGAAACCACCTCCAACTTTCTTTGGTTTCAGTCTCATCCACTCCAAAGGCTAAAGGAAAATATTGATCATTTGGGTTCCTACCCACAACAATTAATAACTGACCCCCTTACTTTGTTTTTAGATGACAAGCATCAACTCCTACAAAGGGTCTACCACCATTAATGAAACCCTTTTTACAACCATCAAAGCAAAAATAAAAGGAACCAAACCTTAGCTGAATAGATGAACTTGGTCTTTCTACAGTGATACTCAAAGTGTTCCCAAGATTTACTCTATATAATTCTGCAGCATATCTCCTTAAATTTGCATACTATTTATCTGCATCTCCTTCAAGCATCTTCTTGGCTATGAGTTTAGCGTTCCATGCCCTAGCCACCGTGATTCCCACATAATGCCTTTTCAACAGAAGCGCCTTCTTCGTCTTGCTTCTTCGGTTGCTTTGAATGCTTCGATTTTGTCAGGTGCTTCTTCTTCTTCGCTGCATGTTTCTTCCCCATTATCAACTTGCTAACTTTGTCTAGTAGTAAACCCTAGCTTTTCAAGGGGGTGAATCAATATACGAAAGATGTTATAAGTAATAGACACAAACAATCCAAGGTGGCATTTAATTACCCGGTCAGCAAGAGTGTCACAAGCCACGTCAGCAACTCAAAGGGAATCTTGGGCTATAAGATTTTTTATTTTGGAATCTATATTTGTTAAGGGGCGGAAATAATTTTTTTTAAAAGGGAGGTAAATCAAAATTCGCTACTATTACAGAGGGGTAAAGTGTATTTAACCCTATTTTATATTAGTATATTTTCACTATACCATACCTAAAGAAAGCGATATCAGAATAGATTACATGTAAACTATAGAATATGGTATCAAAGAAGAGAATATATAAACTATAGAATTTTGAAGTATTTATATTATTAATTAATTTGATGGATTAATTATAAATTATGATAGAGTTATTTTGAATTAATAGGTTAGCATTATGAAAAGAAAAAAAGTAACAAATAAAATGAATATAGCAATTTGAATGATAAATTATAAAATTACGATAGAATTATTATGAATGAATGATTTCAGTAAATGAAAAATAGGAATGAAGAGTGAAAATATATCATATATTATTTTGTTTTAAAAAATTGAAATAAATTAATTTTGAAAGAAGTCACATCACATTCTATAGTTAGTATTAAAATTTAGATTTTTATAAGATTGACCCATAAACTAAAATTTTTGTGAGATTAACACATAAGATTAAAACTGTTGATGTTTTACAATAGCAATTATGCTGAATTTAAAAAATTTTTTGTCATATATAATATGATTAAAATTTCTTCACCATTACCGTATATCCAATTGTGCACCTCAACTTAATTACTTTAAACTGGTCCACAATGTCACAATTATCTCAAGGTATAAAAATTTATATGTTTTGAGTTTAAATAAGATACCTTTTATGATTCTATGAGATTCATTCTATCATATAGACATGCTCTAATTGAGAGAAAAACTATGGAAAACTTAGTATATATATAGAGAGAACCCCTTTTTCTTTATTGACAGAAATATGACCAAATGATAAAAACATTATTGAATATCAATCTCATGGAGAAATTCCAGAAACCAAAACATGAAATTGAAATGAAATCCTAGCATAAAAAACTCAATGACAGATAAAAACAGTACACAAACTTGAAATTTTGAATCTATATTGAAGCAGAAACAAGGCTATCATATTTAGCTTTGAAATAGACAAAAAGAGGTTCTCTTGGAGGCACAAGTTCCTTCACAATTGAATGGTTGAGAAATTCTTGGCTCCAATTGTAAAGCTTGGGAAACTTCTCAGGTGTGAACAATTCAAACCCCGCCACCTCTTGAACCAAAGGGATCCAAAAAGCTATGAACACAGCAGCAATGTCCACAAAATCAATCTCTTCTCCCCCAAAGAACTTCTCCTTCAACTCATTCTCAAGAAAATGAAGTGCCTCCGATGATTCTTCAATATTCTTCTCACGCGCTTTCTCATCGTTAACAGCAAAAACAGCTCTAAAAAAAGGCGCAGCAATCTGATCATTAAAAAATCAATCGTTATTAGTTTGTATATTTTACAATCAACATTAATCGACTAGAACATAATTTCGATAGTTTATGCCTACAATTGAAAATATGTTAAAGATGCATCAATAATGTCCGTTAAATCAACTCAATTAATAAATACAGAGACATCAAGTTGTACGAGGGTTATGAATTTAAACCTGTGACATTCTATTTATTCACTTCAAATATGGATTATTAGACAAACAAATTTTTTTTATCAATGACATTTGAGTGGTGATACATAATATTACAATGCAACAACAATGAAAAAGCTAGAAAGATAGATTACCTTATCGTCGATGACCTTGGACCAAAATCGAGCCAAGGCTTTTTTGTAAGGATCAGAGGGTAAAATGGGATTTTGCTTCCAAGTCTCATCAATGTACTCAATAATCACGAGGGATTCTGATATAGGCTTCTCATTGTGAACAAAAACTGGAACCTTCTTATGAACTGGATTGTATTTGAGAAGAAGATCACTTTTGTTGGCCAAATCTTCTTGAACAAATTTGTATTCAATTCCCTTCAATTTTAGAGCAATTTGTATTCTACATACAAATGGGCTTCCAACAGCTCCTATAAGTGACACTTCTTCCTGATTTGTAGCCATTGCACAAATACCAAGTGAGTGTATTTGAATATGAATCCTAACTAAGCTCTTGTGTGTTTTTATAGAGTTTGGAAGGTTCTATTCTACCAACTCCATCATCCAAATTGTTATTTTTAATTTATATTTTTTTATAGTAATTTAATAAAATAGTAAGTTTAGTAATTCAATGAAGGAAAAAGTAGTAATTCCCAATTTAACACATTTGGACAGAAATTGTGTAAGCCATTACATCAGCCGTATGTGTATGGATAAAATGAACAAGACTCTTGAGAATTTTAGTTATCATATTTCCCTAATTGTTAAAAATTTAATTTTCCCTTATTTGATACATGGAAATATTTTTTTTTCCAACAAAAATAGAACTGAATCAAAGTAATTTAGTAAAATAAATTAATTCTTTTTCATTGTATGAATAGAGAATATGCCCCCTATTCTGAATTATATGTCAGGTACATTATCAAAGTATCAAATCCATTTTCTTCTTTTTAGTATGTTATTTACTACTAGTTATTCTTTCATTTTAATTTTCAGAAATTATCTATATGTTTAATGTAAAATACTTTTGTTTAGTAATTTATAGTTTTTCTTTTTCGTAAAATATTAACTATTATTGTTGTGTGAATTTACTGAACGGATCATTTGAGTAAGTAAATAAATCTTCACATCACTAATTTAGATGTGTTAATGGTTGGAAATCCATCAAGATTTATGATGAATTTATATTAATTTTGATAAATAAAATTGTTATCACTATACAATGACAATGAAAAGAAAAAAAAGTTAAAGAATTATGCCGAGTTTTTCTCTACCCACAAACGGTAGAAATTTTTTTATTAACTTGCAACTGCAAATACTGTGAATGAATGAATTGATTACAAAAATATGAGTTACTCACTCTATTTATAATTGAGCTTGCTTTCTCCGTAAGGCAAAAAGCTCAAAACTATAAAAGTCCAAAATATCTATTTTGGAACTAAATCAAATAGGTGTGAAACAATTGCTTTGACACACTATCTAGACTAATTCGACACACATACATATCGGGTGTTTCGATACACCTTGTGTCGAGCAACTTCCTGCTTCGACACAAGGAACTACATATTTAACACACCAACTAATTCATTGTGTCTAAGCTATCTATATTCATCATAGCTCTTAGTCTTCTGAATACTTCGACCTGCACACCATTCATCATGATGTCTGCAATCTGATTCTCAGTTCTGTAGTGTTCCAAGTTCATCTTTCCTTCTGCTACCTGCTCTCGAAGATAATGGAACCTCATCTCGATGTTCTTGCTTCGACCATGTGCTATCAGATTCTTTACCAGTTTGATAGCTGACATGTTGTGAATCTTCATGGTAATTGCTCCATGATCTTTACCTTAATCTCTTCGATCAAGTTCACCATCCATGTTGCTTAACATGCACAAAGAGAAGCAACAATGTACCCTGCTTCACACGATGATAATTTCACTATTGATTCTTTTCTCGAACTCCAAACAATTGGTGCACCACCTAGCATAAACACATATCTTGTCGTAGATTTTTGATCCTCAACATCATTACACCAACTTGAATCAGTATATCCAACTAACTTGCATTATTTTCCTTTATCAACTTCAAGAAACAAAATGTCATAGTCAAGCGTTCCTTTCAGATACCTCAGTATCCTCTTCGTCGCTACTAGGTGTGATACCTTTGGCTTCTGCATGAATCTACTTACCATACCTACATTGTATGCTAAGTCAGGCCTTGTATGACAAATGTATCTCAATGAACCAATAAGTCTTCTGTATTGGGTTGGGTCGACATCATCTTCTTCTGTATCTTTCAACATTTGCAGTCTTGGTTCTGCAGGTGTCGAAGTTGAGTTGCATTCTTCCATCTCAAATCTCTTGAGAATTTCACTTGCACATCTTCTTTGATACATCATGAAACCTCTACTGCTCTTGGAGAATTCGATGCCAAGAAAATATGAAATATCACCCATATCAGACATTTTGAATTCCTTGTTGAGATCACCTTTGAAGTCTTCAATCTAATTTTTGTAGCTACCTATTATCAACAAATCATCGACATAGAGACATGATATAAGAAATTCATTATTGCTTCTTCTTACATATATTCCATGTTCAGTTTTGCACTTCACAAATTCCTTCTCGCTTAGAAATTTATCTATCTTGTTATTTCAAGCTCTTGGAGCTTGCTTCAATCCATATAGGGTTTTATGCAACCTGTACACCTTTCTCTCTTCGCCATGCTTCACAAATCCAACTAGTTTTGCAACATAGACTTCTTCGTCTAAGCGTTCATTCAGGAGTGCATATTTTACGTCCATCTGACATATGTGCCAACTATTCATTTCTACTAGACCAACAACCAACCTGATTGTTTCGATCCTGGCCACAGGTACAAATACTTCATCAAAGTCAATTCCTTCCTTCTGAAGAAATCCTTTCACCACAAGTCTTGCCTTGTGTCGAGTTACTTCCCCTTTGGGATTCAAATTTACCTTGTATATCCACTTCACATCTATTTCCTTCTTTTCTTGAGGCAATTCGACAAGTGACCAGGTGTTGTTATCTTCGATAGACTTCACTTCTTCATTCATTGCTTTCACCCATTTTGAATCCTTTAATGCTTCATCTGCAATGACTGGTTCGACATCTGCATATAAAGTATAATGTACCAGCTCACCTTCATCATCGACCACATCATCTAATGTAATCACACAATCTTGCAACCTTACAGGCACGCATCTTATTCTCTAAGGTCTGCTTGTATCTGGTTGATCTATAACTTCCTCTTGTCGAACTTCTCTTTCAACTTGAGTTTATGGTTCTTTAAGTAAGATTCTCACTGAATCCTTCTTGACATTTTTTAGTCCAATCCCATTCCTTAAGCTCATCTATGAGCACGTCCCTGCTGATCATAATCATCTTGTTCACTGGTCCAAACAACTTGTAACCTCTTGTCGAATGATATCCAACTAGGATCATCTGACTTGACTTGTCGTCATGTTTTCTTCTCAATTGATCAAGAAGATGTTTATGTTCCATATCAGATGACTCAAGCTAGGCTTAACACCAAACTAACATTCTTCTGGAGTAATTCCTTCTAGCTTCTTCGTCGGACATCTATTTAAAATATATGGCGTTGATACAGCTTCTCCCCACAATTCTTTGGGTAGATGCTTACCATTCAACATACTTCTCACCATATTCATGATGGTTCGATTCTTCCTTTCTGCTGTGGAGTGTAAGGTGGCACCACCTTATATAAAATCCCTTCTTTTTCACACAATGCATTGAAGTCTTTCGACACATACTCTCCACCACCATCGGTTCTCAAAAATTTGAGCTTTCGACCACTTTTCCTTTCAACAATAGATTAAAACTTGGAAAATACCTCTATCACTTCACTTTTCTTCTTGATAAAATAAGTACACAGTTTTCGACGAAATCCTCTGTAAATGTGACAAAGTATCTTTTACCTCCCATCGCATCCACCTGGATTGGTCCATATATATCAGAGTATATGACTTCAAGGATTGCTTCCTGCATGCTTGCTAAAGTTGTTCTTGTGTTGCTTCAACTGCACACATTCCTCACACACCTCATTTGGAATGTCGATTTCTGGTAATCTTGAAACCATATTTCTTCTCTTCAAATCTCTGATGTCTTTGTTGAGATGGCAAAGTCGATAATTCCATATCCACTCATCTCTGCTAGATGCAGTTGCAAGGAATTTGTGCTCTATCACATCAAGTTCAATCTTGAAGGTTCTATTATGAGACATTGGAGGCTTCAAGATTAACCTTCCTTTTGTGTCGGCGACTCTCATTATCTTGTCTTCGACAGACACTTGATAATTCTTTTCGACCAACTGCCCTATGCTGAGCAAGTTTCTCTTCATGCCTGGTATGTATAACACATTGGAAATTATTGACCTTTTTCCATCCTTCCTCGTAATCAGAACATCACCAATACCTTCAGCTGCTAGAGTACTGTCATTTGCAAATTTCACCTTATTCTTCCTTGAGGGTTTAGGTTGACAAATCAATCTTTCCTTCCAAACATGTTTGATAAGCATCTTGAATCCAAGTACCATTGGTCCTTGAATCTTTCTTCATCTTTTGTTGTAACCATCAACTCATCTCTTCTTTTTTCATACTTTGCAAATTTTGTGTCACTTTCTTGATTCTTTCTCTTTTCTGGAAAATCACTAAAATAGTGACCATACTTCTGACAATTGTAACAATGAATGTGACTCTTGTCAGGATTTCGACCACCACCTCTTCCTCTACCTCCATCACCACCTCTTTGGTTGCCTTGGTAATCAGGTCTTCTTTCATTCGACACAATTCCTTCCTGTTGGTTTCCTCTTCTAGTCAAATTGTTGTAGCCACCTCTAGTTTTGTCGAACCACTTTCCTTTGCCTTTACTTTCTTTTACTGATTGTGCCTGAAAAGTCACACCACTCTTCGACTTGCCTGCAACTCTTTCACCCATTCGTTGTTCACGAGATTCAAGCATCCCTTAAAGCTCTTGTTTTGTTAATTTTGAAAAATCCTTTGATTCTTCTATCACTACCACCACGTGGTCGAACTTAGGAGCCAAAGACCTCAAGATATTTGAAATAACAGCTCTTGTTGCTAACGCTTCTCCACATACCTTGATTTTAAATCAGATATGCTCTCTCTATCTTCCACCTGAAGAAATTCATATGTTCTTTTGTGAGTTTGTAAACTCACCTTTTCTGAACCTCCAAAAGACTTATCAATGATCTCAAAAGCTTCTTTCGCAGATTCTGAATCACTCACTATTTCGAAATTTTTTGGACTCAAACACTGATGAATTATAAAGAGTGCTTTATAACTCTTCTTCTCCGATTCTATGTGTTCTTTCTTTTCTTATTCTGAAGTGTCTTCTCCAAGTGCTTCTAATCCATCCTTTACAAGATCCCAAACACCTTATAACCTTCATCTATTTGCACCAATTC